CAATCAATCAATCAGTCAGTACATTAACCATCAATTAACCAATCAATCAATCAAAATGACGCTTGTTTTTCTTTTTTTAGCAATGAAAATATGAAAATTGTGGCATGCATTTATATTTAGGTTTTTAATGCTTCATATAGTCTGCATGCTCTCCTTCTGCATATTCTCTCTAGGTACTCCATCCCCTTTTGTGTTTCCAACTTATCCCTATACGTGTGGATGGTATTTCCCTCTGTTTCTAAAAATCTTCTTAAATTCTTTGTTTTTCCAACTTTCCTATTGTTCTTAGTGTTATCATATCCAAAATTTGCTATTAAACAACCTTTAATGCAGCCAAAGAAAGGCTGTTTGCAGATGTCAAATATGATGAACAATGAGATGTTATTAGGCTTTTTAAAGGTATAGTGGGGGATGTTGTTATTCCAGCTGGCTCATCAAAATAAGTGGTCCTCCTAATTGCCAAACATTCTGGTGATATGTTTACGTAAGGCCGTCCTACATCCTTATCCCCATTTTCACTTACCGGTGGTGAGTCTGACATAGTGGACAAATTGCAAATCTTCTTCTGAAAAGTAAGCTTGCATGAGCGATGCAAACAACAACCTTTAAACAGAGCATGCTCAAGGAGAAATGGGCTCGTGCATGCTTTCCTACACGTTTAATAGATGTTCCGTCTCGAGAGCATGTACAGGGTTGTGCATGTGCATTTGTTTTTTAAGTGGTCTTTTGAAGAATTTCAGAAAATCCTACCTTCAAGGTTACCAATTTTATCCATTAATTGTACTTTTAAAGTGCTCTACTGTAGGCCATGTATGGATATGTTTCCGTTAGTTTGATAAATTAAATTATGAATTATATTATATAATGAACTCAGAAAAATCTAACATAAATTTAAACTTGTGAAACATTTTCTGATGGACTGAAATCAAAATGACTGAAATGAAATATATATATATATATATATATATATATATATATATATATATATATATATATATATATATATATATATATATTTATATATATATATATAGGGAGAGAAAGAGAGATAGAGAGAGACACTTATCCTTTTTTGCTCTATACCTGGCACTAAATCAGGCCTAAGCATTCCTGTTTCAGTTCAGCTAGGATTAACAGAATGCTTAGAACAGAATAATGACAGAATAATATCTGTCATTATTCTCTACTTGAGAATAATGACAGATATTATTATTATTTTGTTTAACTTTCTTTAAATTTACATGCAGTACATTTCTTAAGTACTTCGGAAAACTGCTATTTACACTGTTTGGAGTCTAACATATTTAGCATCCTTTGACAAGATTCTCATAATACTTTGTTGCAATTTGCATTGGATTTTTCGTTATAAAATGATAAAAAGTAAAAATTATCAATGTAGTAACTAGGGCTGAAACAATTAATCGGATTAATCCTGATTAATTCATTACTGACATAATCATTAACTAATATATAGTATAGACACTTTATAATATGTTTTGAGCTGTCAGAGTAACCCACTTAGAGCTCTAATTGTATCAAAATTGTCAAAAGAAAATATATGAACATTTTACATTTAAGATAAAAAAAAGGTTTCTGCCTTTCAATATGCCCTATCCAGAACATCTCAAGAGGAAAAGTTTTAGTTTTAACTGGTTTAATTTAGTAAAAAATCTTCTTTAAGGAACCTTTGCCTATTTGCAAAATCCTCAGTCTAGTAGTTACACACTTTAAAACTTTCCATCAGACCAAAGGCCATATATCCAGCAAATAAACATATCTGCCCCCTGAGAGTATTTGCAAACTTTAATGCGCCACTGACTTCTTGATCCTTGAGTGGCTTTTCGATCGATGGCAGGGAGCATTTCAACATGGACAACAAAACAGCTCTTTACAGCCTCAGAACCTTCGCTTTTACTCTGAGATTTTCTTCAGACACAGAACCAATCTCTGTATGAACACACCATACATAAGCATTAATAAAAAGATTAAGAGGCCTCTTTAGCAGTTTCTACTTTGCACCCCAGGACTTTCAGGGTTTGTGAAGGGCCACAGCTCCCCTTCTTGCAGGTTTTAGTTTCATTCCACCCAAAGTGTCAAAAAACATGCAATTCCACCATCAGTTATCTTGATGTTAATCTGCAGTAAAAATGACTTAAAAGTGGTTTATTAAGAGCAAAATGAGGAAAGATATTTGCTGTGGTGAAATCTAAAGGGAACTTTATAAATTAATACCAAGAAACCATAGAGAGAAGTAATAAAGGTATAAACAAACTAATTCAGTAGTGTTGAAGCACTAGGTTTTTTTTTAGTACGTGAAGTGATTTGAACCAAAAAAATGAACACATACAGACACAAAGAAACCCAACTGTTATTCTGTATATTTATTGATAATAAGACCACTGATGGTGACTTAGTCAGCAGTAGACAACATGGTGCGGTTCTTGTTGAGTCTCTAGTGACCCCTAGTGTAAGCTGAATGGTATTACAGTTGTGTATTTACAGAACAAAAGATTAGTGAAGAGAGGGCAGGTAAATCTTATATCCACAAACCAAATTTACAGATTTTAAAGGAAAAAAAAAACACAATTTAATACTGAACGAAAACAATAATAATAATAAACAACAAAGAAGAAGAAAAAACACACCTGGAACCACATCTATGCACACACCCACACACACATAAAAAGAGATATAGAGATAGAAAACATCTGAGTAAAGCTGTAAACTAAATACCAACGAAACATAATAAGTTTAGAGCTAAACTGTGCATTATTTCTCAACTTAACATCAGCCACAACTATTAGATTTTTTTCAGTGCAAGTTTCTTACAAACTATCAAACAAATACTGACTCTGAGCGCTAAATGCGGATTGAAAAAACGTGACACAACGGTTATACTGATTAGCATATTAGATTGTGAAACAACACATCATATAAATTACATTTCCAATACATATCTACAGATGAGGATGATGATGATGGCAGCAGCAGGTTGATGCACTACACAGAATAACTGTAAATTGTAGATGCTTGCCGAGTGATTCCTACTGATCTCTGTTTGCGACAGACTGCTGAATGTTTCACCAGAAGAAAATGACTCAAGATCCTAATCGTTTGAAGAAAAATATTGTAAAAAATAACATAAATGTTAAACACGCACAAAAAAAAAACACCTTCCGATAATTTGAAATATTCTTGGATCGTCAAATAACATCCTGGTTTAAAATCTTACATGCTCAGACCCAAACAATTAGTCTTGGAGGTTTTTTCATCTTTTTATCTGACCAACTACAGCACTATACAGTGCCTGTGTAACGAGACTGTGCAAAAAAACAAAACAAAACAAAAAATACAGCTGACGCATAAAATTCAAAGTCTGAAAAGACATAGTGAAATCTTTATCTAGAACTGCAAGGACTTTGAAAGATGTCCTAGCTTGTACTCATTTCAGATTTCAGAGCATTATTACTGACTGAAAAAAGCCAAATCGCAAAAAAGGGGAAAGATATACTTTCAGCTAGCTGTCCTGCAGTGTGCAGCAACAGGTGAAGTGCTACGCTGCTTTATGACCCTATTATCACCTGACTGGAACCTCAGCTTTGTGTGAAACAAATCACAGCACTAAAAACAGCTCAAATGTTTACGTCAGATCCCCTAAAGAAGTGGAGACATTTCTGTCTTTATTTTAAGAATAACCACAAAAAAAAAAGAAAAAAAATATTAATTCTCTAAGATTTTTTTAAGCAGACACTGCTGCTGGGTAATTTCAGAAAGTGTTTCATGAATTTGTTGGACCTCATTTCAATTTCATTATATGAGGCCACAGTGCCAAGATCATAACAGTCCTGTAACTGTTATGATCTTGGCACTGATGACTGACTTAATTACTCATTCCATTCACCTGTCCAACTGTGCCCGGTTTCCAATCACTACTCATCTGATCCACCTGTTCCTGCCTCTATTTACATTGCTTGCATCCAGTAATCAGCACCAGATTATCATTGTTCTCTTTAGATAGTGGTGAGAGGGGTTTTAGAGTTCCTTGGTGTTTCTGATTACCTGATCCTGACCTGTTCTGCCTCTTAACCACTGAGCCTGCCTGTTACCGTCTGATCTCAGTGGTGAAAGTGTTTTTAGTGTACCTGAGTGTTTCTGATTACCTTTTCCTGTTCTGATCTGTTTGCCTGACCTGGCTTCGGACTCCTGGACCTCTGAGTCTGCCTGTTCCTGTTCTGTTTGCCTGGTGTTTATCATAGGCTATCCACTGCAGTAGCATTACTGTGAAGTTTTAAGTGTTAGTAAAATATGTGTAAATACAGGGTCTAGAATAATTACATAGCACTATGTCCACAATAAAGTCATGCAGAAAAGCTCAAGGTCACTATTTTGTAGCTTTTAAGGGTTGAAATAATTTGTGTCGGTGCACTGATACAAATCATTTAGCTTGTATTTTGTCTCATATGACAGAAACTAAGACGCAGAATTTGACTAATATATTGGAATTTAACTGGAGCTAAAACATTTCAGTCTGGGGGAAAAAAGTAAGCAAGTATCTGAGATGTTACAGAAGCTTTAGCAGATCAGATAATGTCATGTTTATATTTTTGCTGACGCTCATGTATCTATGCGTTTTGTTTGAATTTAAGGTGGGTAACCCAGCTCCGATTATTCAGGGTGTACTTTAATCCCAGGTGTAAAATCTCTGGGAAATCTACTCAGGATCAGCCTGGAAGCAAGAAAGAAGCAAATCTGGTCACTGCATCATTTTGTCAAGATACTCATGAAATAGCCTTTCAACCATAGGAACAGTGTGACAAGCTTTGATGATGCATTGAAATAGGTGATATAGCGAACAACAAGTTCAGGTCACAGGTCCGATAAGCTCCCTATACTCCAATGATTAATTTCACTTGTATATCTTATTAAATACATTAAAGCATTGTTTTCGTCTAACATATATTAAGGCTAAAATGCTAAGCAAAATGTTTTTTCACAGTCTGAATTTTATTAACTTATTGGGCTTTCTATATTTTTATATATCAGCAAAAAAATATTTCTTTTTAATATCATGGTTAAAAAATACTCTACAGCGGTTCTCCCTTTCCCCACCGTCAACAACCTAGACTATCCTCCTTAGTGCACAGAATCAAGTAACAAAGGACTAAAATCCTAGGCATACACAGTGATGAGTGATAACAAATGGGAAAAAACTAAACCTACCAGTGAGAGGGTTACTTTCAGATTTTTAAGTAATGCCCTTCTGATGTCGTCCGCCCTGCTCCCCCTACCTGCTGTGAGCTGCGCCGATCAGAGATAACCGCTAATGAGCAACTTTTACGCCAAGCATCAATGTGGAGCGTCATACAGAAAGCTTTGATCGCAATCGCAGCGAGTCGAGGAATGGTGCTTTACAATAAGGTACATTAAGATATTACACTGAGATCACAGGCAGAGAGACGGACAGAGGCAACTTCCGATTCAGATGTGTGATGGGACTTTAGGGAATTTACTTCTGACTTGTGGCAAGACACTTTGTCATTTCTTCTCTCCATCTCCCTGATAAGATAAAGGTCATTTTAGTGTTAGCATCAGTTTCAACCCCCTCTTTCTTCTGAGCCATGTTTTCAATAAATCTCACCTGCCACCTCACATCAGCTAGACCATCTCATACTGGTTGGCTGTGATGATCCTGGACAGACAGCAGGCCAGCAACATGCCAATCAGCTGAAATACAAAGAAAAAAAAAACACACAAGAGGCTTAATAACCTCATTCTGTATGATATTATAATAATAAACTATTTTAAGTCACACTGTTCTTCTGCTTTCACCTGTGAGAAGGCAATGCCAAACGTCACTCCTGCAATGATGGCCATGTTGGTTTCCATGAAAGAGGTGACCAACTCAAAGCAGCCCTGAAAAAAGGGGGCATGTTAGTCTGCAGAGGAAACTAAGACACATTATAAGTGCAAAATAAAGGCAAGGTGTGTGTATAGGAGATTATCTGAGGCAGCTTTTGGTGTGTGGAGAAGCCAAGGATTTGATGTGTGGTCACCTAAAGTTATGAGGTTCATTTAATGTGAAAAATGCAGAAAAATAAAACCATTAAAACGTACCTGGTGGTAGACCTTGCTTGGGGCTACAGTTGCATTGCGGAGATTTTCTGGGTTACAATCAGAGGAGTTAAAGCAGCAGCTGGGAGGGATACCGTTGGAGGGGTAATACACGCTGGCAAACCAGCTGGTGTAGTTATAAACTCCACAGCAACGCAGCTAAAAATGCAAAAAACAAACAAACAAAGAAACACAAACACTTATTCTATAGAAACATTCAAGCCATTTTATTCTGCTTATCCTGAAGATATAAAACATTGTGCTTATTTATTTATATGTTATTTCTTGTGTTACAAATTTTGTAGACTGGACAGTTAAAAAGTCCTTTGTCGTACATGTTTCCACTGAAGCCCTGAACAGAAAAACCAATGTCTGACTCTAAATAAAGTTTTGGATCTTCACCAGTTAGTAGTTCCAGTAGTGTTTAGGTAAAAAGAGGAATGAAATTACTTTTTCTGGCATCGTGGTACATTTGTTGTGTACTCAAAAGCTGGAAAATAGTTTAAAATGTCCCATCAACTCAAAACTCGCTCCTGAAAAGTAATCTACGGTAAAAAAAAAATCTATTTATTAACACTTCTGCTGCTTTTTATAACAGTAGGACACATTCCTAGACATATGGTGCCCATATGAGAAATGAACTGCCCAAAAAATAGGCCAGAGGGATAGTTTGAGTCTAACATAAAGGCACATTGATAATAGCTGCCATAGGTTTGAAGCAATGGCGGAGCCAGAGGGTTAGTTGGGGTTGAAATTGCCACTCCAGAAGAAATCCTTGTCACCCCTGTTGCCACCCAGCTGAAAACATTGCAGTGCTTGAATTTTACACAGGATCAGTGAAAAACATTTTCCTTTGCTGGTATGTACGTTTATTGGTACCAAATTTAACAAAGTGCTGTTTTAACCGGAAGTAAGGGAGATGTTGCACCACAGTGCTTGTGCTTAGTATCACCTATGAATATTACTGACTATGAAGTGGCTTGACGTTCAAAAAGAAATGTACCCACATGAAAAGCATAGGGAACTTCAGAAACTTTCAGATGTTAGGTGGGCTTGCAGCTACATTGCATTTAGAACTATGACAGACAGGCTTCCAACAGATTTGAGTATCTGGCAAGAAATGTCGCTAGAGAAGAACAGTGGGGACAGGAGAATATAAGCAAAGGGACTTTTAGCCCGAACTGACCTATAGTTTATAGGACTTTTGTTTGCTTTTTGTAAAGTGTTTGGGGATGTGAAAATCCTTGACATGCTCCAATCCAGAAGTCTTGATCTGGTTAGAGCAATAGATCTCGTTGCTTCCCTTATAGACACGTGAGATAGTACAGTTGGTGAATTATGGAAGGAGACGGAAGAACTTGTGCACCACTGCAACATTGTCACTGAGGCACAAAACAAAAGACACAAAAGACCAATTTCAAATTTCTGGAATCACTAGTACTGAGCACTGTTTGAGAGAGGCACTGTAAGTTTGAAACTAATGAAGAGTTCCATAGAAGTATTTTTCATCAGGTACTTGATAGTCTTGAAGCAGAAATAGATAGGCAATTTTCCAAAAAGAACTGTGAGTTAATGGAAAGGGTGCGATCTCTTGAACCCAAAAGCCCATCATTCCTAAAAGAGGAGCCTCTGCTTGCTTTGCGGAAAACATTTGAGTTAGACTAAGAAGACTTTAAGCATGAGCTTCATCAAACGAGAGGGCTTCTTTCAAGAAGGGAGAAAAGTGGAGAGAGACCAGCTTCTCTACTTGAGTTTGTTGTGTTTTTGGAACTTTACAAAGAGGTTTCCCATAAAATTTTCAGGGTGAGTAAAAGTTTATCTGCCCTTAAATTAATACAAACCCACCTTCCACTGGAAAAACGATCTAGAAATGAGTTAAAATTTCCTAAATTAAGTGTATTTACCCTTAAATTGAGTAGGCAAATTAGATAGTTTGCCAATGGAATGAGTATTTTTACTCTTAAAATAAAATAATGAGATCAAATGCACTTGAAATAGGACAATGCAATGTGACAATGTGTTTTCTCATTTTCAATGTAAATTGTCTTGTTCCATTGGCAAAATATCTCTTTTTCCTCCTAAATCCAAGAACAAATGCATTTATTCTAAGAAAAAAGTTACTTATCGAGATTTAGATTTTTTCCAGTGTTGGACAACAATGGCAAATGATTAAGTCACCTGGACATACTCAGTGTTGAGTCAAGGAGGGCATATTCCCTAAATAGGGAAGACTGTAAAACATTTTGCTTCATCTAACTAGAACCACATTATTTTGCTATTTTGATTGTTTTTGTGAACATTTTGGATTGTCATATCACTGGGCAATGGTCAACTAGTCAGTTTTAAAGGGCTGTATGTTTTTTTTTGTTTTGTTGTTCTATTCTTCTTCTTCTTGTGGTACACATTTAAACATGCAGCGCTGCTTGTACTGCCTTGTTTTGACAGGTCTAAATTTACCTCAAGCTTGAGTTTACTACTGGATTTGATTAGTCCAAGGAGCAGATTTGTTACTTGTTTATTTCTGTTTGCTGTATACTTAATTTTTTTAATACATTGTACAGTGCATAATTGTATATATTTTGGAAAATAAACAGCTTTAATTTAATCAATATAAATTTTGAGGAAAATGAATGAACGATGAATGATTGTAATTGAACCCTTTATATATTGACCACCCAAACAATACCTCGCTACCCTTGTTTTCAAAGTCTAACTCTGCCACTAGTTTGAAGTAGGACAGCTCTGGGTAAATAATTAAAACCCCAACAGGCTGAGATCTGATAAGCAATTCAACAGATTTTCCTCATATCCATAATAGGTCCCGCTAAGATCTAAATGGGGCCAGAAATTAGATGTTCTACGTTGCTGGTAGAGATTCTTAGCCAGTCAGGACTTGGTTTTTAAAGTTTTTTTTTAAGGTGTTTTGTTATACCTGGGTCTTCTATAGGAAGCCCAGAAGTCCCTGTGAGAATATACTTGAGCCATATCGATACAGATCTCTTAATGGAGTAATATTGCACAAATTCTTAATATAAGCAAGAAAAACACTTTTCTACAACTACCTTACTATGTATGCATATCCAAGCACTCAGTATTAGTGAAAATATTTCAGATCAGTGCTACACTTAATCAAATCTTCACTGCTGAAACATCTCATCTATGAAAAGTGATCAAACTTTATTAACAGTCAAAGTACAATTATTGAAGGTGTGTTTGTAGCGAATGCTGTTATTTGTGCATTGGAAAGTACTGTGCAGCCATATCGATACAGTGGATCATTAGTTTTTATTGGATAGATTCAGAACCATTGGCGTGTCTGACTTTATGAGTGAATGGTTTGAAAATACTTATTGAGGTCTAAAATGTTACAGTATGATGATTTACAATGGAGTGCCCCAAAGGTATATTTTAGTGCCTATCATTTTCAATATTTCATTAATGGTGTTGGACTATAATTCACAATGTCTAATGTGATTGTTTTTTGGCTTTTTGCAAATGACTGTGATTTTCTCCATTTCTTCCTCAGCAATCAAGCTACCGTTAACCTCCAAGCAACTCCAGACCTCCATTTGAAATTGCTCTAAAATACCAAGTGTCAAAATGAATGACGTTCACTAAAGAATGCACAAAAATAAAAATATAAAAGTATTAAGACCCTAAAAGGATAAAGGGTGAAACTGTGTCTTTATCTAAATATTTGGGCTTTTTAATGGACAAATACCTGAAATTTCATAATAAGATTTAACATTAGTCAGTTTTTACAGGTATGAATTTTGTTCTTTTGAAGACAATAAATCTGTAAACATCTAGGATTAAAAAAAAACCAACATAGTACAGACAAGCTTTCCTTGTTGTACATAGAAATGTAACTTCCTCATGTCTTCCCTGCTTGGACATGGATCACCACAGTGCTTTGCATTTTATTACAAAGTCTCTCCCTGTTATCTGTTTGCATAACATTTGGCTATAAGGAGATTCTGAGAAAACTACTTATATACGTTTCCCCCAACCTCCAACAATAACTGGATATGACTCCCATTTTGCTTATTTACAAAGTCCCCTGAATCCACATAGGATTGGGGATATCCTCGTTTTCATATGCATCCTCTTGGTCTCAAAATCAACTGCAGAACTCATCTCAGCTGCAGTGTTTAATTTGCTAAGGGGATTTAAAACTCCTCTGAGGCACTTTTTAAATAAAGAATGTGTTTTGCTTGTGCCTTTGCTTTGTTCTGTAATATTGTCAAGCGTACTGTTGTATTTTCACAGAAAACTCATTCATGCATTTATCTTTAGCTGTGTTTGGTTTGCCTAAGAGAAAGTATAACATCAGTTTGGTTCTGAAGTCCTTACATTGGCTCCCTATATATCAGAGAATAGGTTTTCATATCCATCTATAGCATATAAATCACTGAATGGATCAGCACCTCAATACATAACAGATTTGTTGTCTGTGTGTCCAGGACGACTGAGGTCCTCTGGTTCAAGACTTCTCTAGAACCAAACATGGAGAAGCAGCATTATATTCTTTGCCCCACTTATCTGGAAAAACTTCCAGAATACTGTAAAAGTGCTGAAAGCCTGAGTTATTTTAAATCAAAGTTAAAACCCATTTGTTAGGAGCTGAGTTTGACTGTTGCAGTTAAACTGTTAACTGAGGTATTATTAAAAGGTTGTGGTCCATTTGTTTTAGACATATTATTTTTATCTATATTAAATTTTATTCTCCTTTTTTTTCTTCTATTTTATTATCTAATTATGTAAAGCACATTGAATTGTCCATGCACTGAATTGTGATATACAACTAAACCAGCCTTGCCCTACACATGTTTAACTCTGGTTAATAAATCTAACGCACCCTTTAACTGTAGAATATCCACATCTTTACCAGAGTTTTAATCTGCTTGCTCCATTATAGCAACAAAAGTAAACTTGAACCGGCTGTTGATTATATCAACTTGAACAGACTGTCAAGCATTATAGATAGACATACAAAATGTATGGTAATTTGTTTATGCTATGGTGACTCAGAGAGGACCGGATTAATCATTTACTCAGCTAATCTGAGCTTACTAGTGTGCTTTTACCTGTGACTGGAGGGGATAGAGGCTATTTAGAAGAAATGCATGTCTAGGCTTTGTGTGAAAAGCAAATTCTTTATAGCATCAAAATAAAGCTCCATCCACACAGAGACAAGATTAGGCGAACCAGCATAGGTAATCAAACATTTAGGCTGTGTGTGCAAACGGATCCAGCATGTTGGGAAACTATAAAGGATCATATTAGAAATCAGGTCTTAAGAGTGGAAAGCTTTCAGAAGGCCGGTCTCATGTTTCAGTGTGTACATGCGAGCTGTACCTTTTGCTAACAATGGCGATGTAGCTCCAGCCCACTCTGTAACAGGCAAGTTACAGCGCCTGGCTAATGTACTACATGGATTCCAATGGTGCTGTATACACTTGTGTGGATGCAGACACCATGTTTGTCTTTGTGTGGACTAGGCCTAAATCAAGTTAGACATCATTGTGCGAATTAAAGGATAGTCTTTGATGAATCTTATGCCCCATTTATGCTACCCCCCTGAAACCGACCCCTGCCGAGTTCGGACAATGCTTGGATCAGTTAACCGTGTCGAGCTTGGTTCCTTAGGACCATATACATAACACGCTAGCACGGTTCTGGGCTGCTCAGTTCTCTCCAGGTACGGCTTCCTCCCAAAGTCCAAAAACAGGTTAATGAATTGTTGCTTGTCTCCGTGTTGCCCTGCGATGGACTGGAGACCTGTCCAGGGTGTACCTCGACCATTGACAGCTGGAGATAGGCAGCCGCATCCCTTGCCACTCCACTTGGGATTAGGCGTGTAAAGAAAATGGATGGATGCTAGCATAGTTCCTCGCCTCCTAGTGACGATCTAAGGTACTCCTGCTAGGACTGAAGGAGGGAATCAAGCAAATCAAAATGGCAGCACCTGTAACATTTAGGAAGTTATGTTTGATTATAATTGTGACATTTTGTTGTTTTACTTTATAAAATGTAGAGTCGAGAAGATTTCGATTGCTGTTGTTGTTGTTCCTCTTCTGTTTTATGGCGGTTATGAAGCAACTTACTGATGTGCATTACCGGTAACTACTAGAAGCTGACTGTAAGGAGATGATGCAGTCTGCTCATGCGCTCTTTATCTGAGAACCAAGCCTAAACCATGTCTGTCCCTACTGTTAAACTAGTACTAGATTTAGCACAGTTCGGTTGTGTTTGGCACGGTCCAGTTCCATTTACACCCATCAGTGCTCGGACAGCCCTTGGCAAAGTTTCAAAAGGGTAGTGTAAATGGGGCTTTAGACACCTGTGCACCAAGTTATGGCACAGGGCGTTATAAGACAAGCATAATTGATGTCTGAGGTCTTTGTGCCATTTGAGTCTAAAGGCCATTTTTCATAACCAATGACTATCCTTTTCACACTGTCATCGCATCATCTGAGGAGTTTGCCTAGCAGCTTTAGAAAAACAAGAGAAACAACGTTTAGTGCTTTCCACATATTTTTTTCCCGCTGCACACCTGACAGTGAGGCAGAGATCGGCTGAGACGCTGTGGGTTCTTATAACTGCCTGCTCTGAGCAGTGTGCCGCTTCCAGCTGTCACCTGGGGATCCTTGTCAGCTCAGTGTCACAGTTAACGCAGTTGGGTATGAAGACTTGTTCCTCCCAAGACGTACTGAGTGTGGGGAGACGCCACATACACACTAAAAATGTTGCTTTCAGTTTTGGTTGATTTTAGCTACCCCCAGTGGACAAATGCTGTATTGGTTTGCCTGAAGACAGACAGCGTTTCCCATGAGGAGCAGGTAAAATCCTGATCTCCAGGTCGCCTGCAGCTGCATTCCCACCCCCACCTCACCTGACTCATCAGCAACTGACATGCTGATAAGTTTAGAGCCTTAAAACAGATACAAAATAATGTTAAGCTTGATAATTTCACAGTAAACACACATACAGATCCCAGCAGGGGGATGCCACATTGTCTGAATACCAGCAATAAACAATTTCCACAAATATACAGTCTTCAGTGTTTTCAGTGTATTGCAGGCTTGTCCCCTATGCTGTAAATAAGACAAATGCTGTATTGGTTTGCCTGAAGACAGACAGCGTTTCCCATGAGGAGCAGGTAAAATCCTGATCTCCAGGTCGCCTGCAGCTGCATTCCCACCCCCACCTCACCTGACTCATCAGCAACTGACATGCTGATAAGTTTAGAGCCTTAAAACAGATACAAAATAATATTAAGCTTGATAATTTCACAGTAAACACACATACAGATCCCAGCAGGGGGATGCCACATTGTCTGAATACCAGCAATAAACAATTTCCACAAATATACAGTCTTCAGTGTTTTCAGTGTATTGCAGGCTTGTCCCCTATGCTGTAAATAAAGCATATGTGTGTAGTGAATAATTAGGTGACAGCAAGTAAGGTACTTAATCAAAGGTAACCAACCTCGTAAAAAATGTGGACAATAACCTGTGGCTCAGCTTAATTAGTTACCACTCACATTATGCTGCAAGTTGTCTACAGCAAGGCTTGCCTCGTCCTCAGCATTGTAGTTCAGGACTGCATCAGTGTAAGTCCTCCGGAAGGTTCCCTTTATCTGCAGCATGCAATCACACACATGCTCAATACAATAAATTCAGAGACTCGTAAAAAATATGTGCACAAAGTAGCAGGGAACTGAGTCTGACCTCATGACGAAACACAAATCCAGAGATGCCAGCCACAAGCTCAGCAAGGAAAACCAGGGAGAGAAACATGGCATACTACAGAGAGAGGAACAAAGGCAGGAGATTTGCATTGATTGCATCAAAACCTTAAGGTGAATATCATTTGCATTTCATTGCACATAAACACTCAAACACACTCAAGTTGCCACCATTAACGGAACGAGGTACCCAGAGGCGCCTACTGAATAACTTAAACCTTCATGCAGGATAAAGGTGAGTCATTATTACTTTTCTCATGTGACCTGAGGTTAATTAATAACAGTCTGCATTGCTTCTCACTCCCACTGCAGAAAAATACTCACACATTTCCTGCTACTCTTACCAGTTTCAGCATCCATGGGCTTCCTCTGCAGGTGGCGAAGCATCCAAACAGGCCGAAAACGATTATGACAGTGCCGGTGCCAATGAGGACGTAGGGGGCATTGGTTGAGTTGTCGGCTATCAGGGAGATGTACGGACCCAGCATCAGCTTTCCCCACACTCCTACTGCCAGCAGGATGGCTCCTGTTATCTAAATGGATTAAAGAGAAAAAGCACAGGGAGCAGAATGAAAGCAGGAAGGAGGCATTAATCTCTGCACTTATTTCAACAGTTGTGTTTCTGCAGCGTGCAAAGGGAAAGATGAAGAAACTGGGATCAAGGTGGAACAAAAAGGAGAGCAATTAGAGTAGGAGGAGGAGCCGGAAGATAGGAGACAACGACAACAACAACAAAAAAAAACCCATCATCAGGAATGCGAGGTGCCAATCACCTGCTCTGTGAATATGCCTACACTCTAGCACAGGAACACCAAATCAAAGGAGCTCTTTGATCCGAGGCGAGACGCTTCCTCCTGTTGCGCCTCTTTTAGCATTTCAAATGAATGCGGCGGATAAAAGAGCGTGTTGTTCAAGGCAGATGAAGCAGCGTGTGTCTCAGCTGGGTTTGTCTCTCTGGCGCTGGAAACAGAGCGGGGTGTTGAATGTCTGTGGATGATCCGACTCCAGCGAGGACCGCCTTATCCAGCTAACCATTGTCTGCTAAAGAGGAGGCGGCTCAACATCCAGCTGCCAGGCCTTCTGACTACAAAAGGATCATTCTGTGCTGATATTCTCTGCATCTTTAAAACTAATGTGACAACAACACTCTTTTCCTTTCTCTTTCCTGTCCCTTCCACTAAACTGTGCTTTTCTGAGACAAAAGGGAACAGAATAACCTGATGCACTCAAAATTAGCTGGAAGACTAGATGCACAGAAGTTGATTCCTCTGGTCAGATAAAACAACCTTCTTTTTTATTATTTCAAACACATGGATAAAAACTGATATAAAACACAGTTGTGAATGGATTATAATGCATGGAATTTTTTTCAGTGCAGATATGGAAGTTGGTAAGTTAGATTCAAATAATTGCAATCCTGGAAAGAAATATGATGCAGGCAGAAAATCACTCAATACATGGGCGAAGAGTCACCTTCCAGATATGTGTTTAGATTAAATCTTAGAATCAAATACTTTATTTTTATTATAGAAACACCCAAGATTAAAAAGCAGCTCTGTTGAGTTTAATTAGAATCTCTATCTCAGTCTCATGGACTCTTTTTCTTATCTCAAGGCTCAAGTTTCTTCAGGTATTACTCTTTAGTTTAATAATTTATTGGTTTCCATAAATTCTCTTTTTTTATGATTTAGTCAATCAGTTTCTTCCTTATTGTTTATGCCTGTGTAAAAATTCTCAATCATCCGGGTCATGGCAACCACAAAATTGGATGGCAACCGGACATTTGCTCAGTTTTCTCTGATGTTTCGACACCTATTGACACCTATCAATTCTGTTGGCTTCACCAGAGCGGAATGTAATCGGACCGCTGATGTATTTCAGCAGCATTGAGGTCCATCCTCCTAAAAACATTCCAACACAGATGCAAATGAAATAGCCATCCCTTGTTCTACTAGATTGTTGTGAACAGGCTACGTGATTGGCTTTTGGAATCACGATGATTATATCATCATGATATGTCATTTCTATTAAACTAGTTCCATAACTTGTTGATACTCCCTTACTGTTGCTTCTTAGTTAATTCATTAAGGACCAGGTTTCGGATTCTTTCTCTATTGATTCACATTGTGTTGAATCTCCTGTGTATCTTTCTAGTCCTCCTCTGTTTGCTTTCGTTCCCTCAGCTCGTTACCTTGATACTCATCAGCTGTTGTCAATTTCTCACTTGTTAGCCTTGCATTTTCCTCTTCCCTTTTTCCCTTCATTTTGTTGGCTTCCTGTCTACATGTCTCGGTTTTTGTCATTCATGAACTTGTTCTCTCTAAGTTTATTTTGAGTTCCCAATTAAAATTGTTTTAATTTTGCCTCCACTATGTTCTGCATGTGGGTCTTCCTTCAACCACAGCATGACAAATGCAGCACAGAGTAACATATTAGAATGGACTAGTCACAGCAAATCCACTTGAGCAGCAAAAGGTAAAAATCATCTATAACAGATTTTAGCTGAGTTATTTTGATACTTTCTGTTTCTTAAATTGCAGGTTGTACTTTAGGTGCATGATGATGCGAAAAGCCGCCCCTATAGTAGAGTATATCTGGCACAGCTATATAGTAAAAGGCCTTAATGTGTTGTTAATACCATGTGACTATGCAGAGTAGATTCCAGAATAAATGTGCAGAAATTGGCAGAATATATATATATATATATATATATATATATATATATATATATATATATATATATATATATATATATATATATATATTAGGGATGGGACGATTTATGAAAACCGTTCGACTGTCTCGGTTCGGTTCGCGTGTGTTTCGTTCGGTTCATGCGCTGCTCATTTTTCTCATAGAGGAAGCGATTACACTCCAGAGCAGAAGGTGGCGGTACTGCGACCAAAGCCAACCGCCAGTAGTAAACAATAAGAAGAAGTACCGGTGTAGCAGAAAAAAATCAGTTGTTATGGAGCATTGTGTGGGTATGGCGAGTGGGAAAGAACAGGAGTTGGAAGATGCGCCAGCAGCACTTTATAGGTCTGCTGTATGGGAGCGCTTTGCATTCAGAGTGACCTACGATGACGGCGGAAAGAAAGTTGTGGATAAAAGTGGAACATTGTGCAACACGTTTTGTTTATGCTAACAGCAACATGTCATGCTAACCCCGAAATCCCTCATACTCCGTCAGCAACCCCGGCTCTGCCCCGCTGTGCTCCAGACCGGCTGCTCAAAGCAAAGCCTACAGCCCCCACTGTGGCTTCGTCTGCTCCCCTCTGAGTTCCTTGGAGATGGTAGAGAGCATGTAACCTGACAACAGCCAGATGCATGCATCTGGCTGTTGTCAGGTTAGAGGGCATGCGCCAGATGATTAAATTCAAAGCAGCAAAACATACGGAAATGATCCAGGGTTTTAATTTTTGGGGGGATTTTTTCATTAATTTCATATTTTTTTATGGAATTTTGGTGTAACAATCAACATGTTATGAATCAACCGAAAACCATGACCAGAAACCGTGAATCGAACCAAACCGTGGATTTTGTGAACCGTTCCACCCCTAATATATATATATATATATATATATATATATATATATATATATATATATATATATATATATATATATATATATATATATATATATATATATATAACATATATAATATGTTTGGAAGAAATAGAAAGCCATTTTCATGCGTTCATTCATCCAGTGCTGTTTTGTTCAACATGTTTTCCTAGTAGTCATGATCGGCTTTTAATTGTTTTTTTTTTCAAACAGTTTAAAAGCCTGAACTTATTAAGTTAATTACTAGTATTGCTAAAAGACTAGCTTTTTAATTATTTTTTTTTTTAACTTTTAAGCATTTATACTGTATATTTTTATAAAGAAAAAGTTGTGAAAATGGCCATTGCAGACAACCTATGGGCAGTTAGATGCTGGGGTGTTATCGTCTTGTCAAGTGGGAATGCTTATGCATTCCCACTTATTGTTTTTCTGTTTCTCTTTATTATCAAGTGGGAATGCTTATGCATTCCCACTTATTGTTTTTCTGTTTCTCTTTATTATCAAGTGGGAATGCTTATGCATTCCCACTTATTGTTTTTCTGTTTCTCTTTATCAAGTGGGAATGCTTATGCATTCCCACTTATTGTTTTTCTGTTTCTCTTTATCAAGTGGGAATGCTTATGCATTCCCACTTATTGTTTTTCTGTTTATATTTATTATTATTATTCCGTAGGTTTTTCTTCGTTTAACTAGTTCAACAGTTTTCAGCTGATTTAAACAAATTTGGTATCAAAACGTTCGGCTTGTTCAGGAGAATTCTGCTATATCTTTTGGTAAAGATATTGTTCGTAGTTTTTGCGATATTCAGCTTTTTCTGCGATTTTTGGCCCCATTGAAATGCATGTAAAACTTCAAAAATTCCACTAAATCTTCAGCAACTTTGCCCTTTAACTACTTCAGCATACTTTCAGCTAGAAACACCATTCAACTTTTAAAATGTTTCCGTATCTTTCTGCTATTACTGTTTAACTCGGCTTTCAGCTAACTTTTACAGTTTTGCTTCAGTGAAGCTTCAAACTTTTAAACAATTTTTAAAGATTTTCAGATTTATAATGGAAGTCTATGGACGGAATGTTCAGCTGCTAGAGTGTGCCACTCTAGCGTTTTCAAACATTTCACTCATGCCGAACAGCTTCAACTCACTCGCTCATTTTTTACTCTATCTAGATAAATTTTACATCAAAACGTAGGGATTTTTGTCAGGATTCAGGAAATGTAACCCTCATCTGTGTGGCATTTACGGTTTTCCGACAGTTTGGCCCAGACCACGAAGAAGTCCACACTTCTCCAATAGAAATCCAATGAGAGCTCTCTGAAAATCCGAACTGAAAATTCAAAAAAACAGACTTTTTCGTATCGCTCCCATTCGGAAACTGTTCGACGTAGCAACACGAGCCTTGTGGAAGTTGTTCCTCAGACCTTCCTAGCACTCACATTGAAGGAAGTGTGTCGATATCTTTTATCGTTTAGCTAGGAAAAAGGTTTGTTCGGGGGTAACAAATATGTCCGAACCCCAAAATCAAGATTTTGACAATTATACACTTTTTTACATCGTCACCACGCCTAGACGAAATATTGTAGAAATATGAAAGTCACACCAGTTGTAGTCCAAAGATGGCTGACGCTCACGGTGAAAGAATTTTTTGAATACCTAATACGGTTTTGGCTCACCGCTCGTTTGTTCGGAGGGAAAGTTTTGCTTTTGAGAGTTCTGCTCTACCATTGTGCTGCATGTTAATCAATGAGACCAGCAGGATTTCTCAAACCTTTATATTCCTCCTTCCCATTAAGGTTGTGAATGAGCTACAGCCATGAAAGTTACCCCAATCGGAGACAAAGGATAGCTCTCGCTTAGACTGAAAGAATTTTTTAGATACCATTTACGGTTTGTCTTCAGCACTTGTTTGTTCGGAGCTGATAATCCCATTCAAAAAAGCCTGAGAACTAAGGAACGAAAGTGATGCGCATGTCTCTCTCTCACTGACAGGCTCGT